TTGTCATCACTAGGGCTGTTGCACAGAGGAGTAGGGTTGCCAGATCCAAGAGAATGGTGTGAAGGATGTATCTTGCTGACTGGAGTCTCCTTGAGACTTGCCTCCAGTTCAGGACCAAGTGGACTGTGGTGTCCAGCACATCGAGTCTACCATATTGTAAGCATGTCCTGTCAAGCTAAATAAAGTCCTCCTTAGTAAACTTTTCCTTTCCATCCTTCCTTCATGCGAATCCATTCAGTCTTGATGTGAGATAACTTGATAAGTGCCAAGATGATCATTGGTGATTGTTGAGATGGCTTGAGGCAATGTTGTGGTTAGTATAGTGTTGTTTTTACTATCATGATGGGGTGAGTATCTACTAAGAGGAGAGAAATAGAGTTGAGAAGTGTTTGTCAAGATTGTGTGTCTGAATTGTTTAGTGGTGTAAGAAGAGAGAAGGATAGAGAGAGGAGTGAGAAAGATAGAGAGAGAGTTGAATAAATAGACTTGATGATTTTGAAGGAATAGATAATAGGGAAAGGAGATAGAGAGATAGAAAGAATAAAGGAATTGATGTCGAGACAGGTAGTTGTGTTGAGATGTGATGGTACATTGTCTTGATGGCAAATATTGATATACAGTAGTCTTGATGTGTATGTGATCTGTAGGGTGTGCACCATGTGCGTACCTTACAGCGGTCATTCATGAAGGAACATCTCACAAGGGTAGGTTCCCAGTATACTGTGCAGTGAATGAATGCCATGGAGCATCACCGAGAGGAGTTGAGTCAATGACATTGTGCATATCAGCATAGTCAGTGAAAGGTGGAGCTGTGCTGAATGGAAACCTGAATGCCGTGAAAGCGTCCATGAGGAAATTGATATTGGGTGCAGATGTCTGCATCTTGGAGAACAGAAATTCAGCCATCTCGAACTCGAGCCGGCTACTATAGGGAGTTCAGTCACTTGGAGGCATGATGATATGTGGGGTAGGTTCAGCATTTGGAGGCAGAAATTGTTCCTCGGCATTACATGGTTGACCTGTTAGACTTTTCAGAGTGGAGTGTAAATATTATGAAGAGGTAGACTGCATACCGTTTAAGAATGGATGAGCATCAGTGCGAACAATATGCGACATCTTGTCATCAGACTGTGACCCATTCTCAGAGTCCCTAAAGTCCTCCAGTGGCATAAAAACATCTTCAATATTGCCAAATTCACTGGTTTCAGGTTCCACATATGGGCCACCGGTATGCTCAGGCATTCCATAGTGAGACCCAGTAGGCTCAGAAGTGCCGTTGGAAACAGAAGATGCGATAGGATGGAAGGTCACATGCTGAGAAACTTCAGAAGATGAATGAAAGATATTTTTGTGTTTTGTCAGTCCAGAGAGGTTGCGGAACTGGCGAGGGCAAAACGGACATGCCAGTGGTAGTCTATCTGCATAGAATTTTCATTTTAACTGAGGGGAAATGCATTTGGGAGGCATGGAAAGTGATGATTCCTGTATGAACAGTACAGCAGTGGTACATAGAGCCTAAAGATGCTTGGTAACTGTGACGCTGGGCCCCGTAGACATCTAAAGCAGCTAAATTTGCTCGCCAAAATGTTGAACAACCTGGAAATGAATGAATGAAACCCTGAACCCTAGGAAGAGGGAGTCAGTGTACCTCCACTTTGCCCACTTCCCAACATCACCCACTAGAAATGTCATCATGACATCTCCTTTTTTGCCAGCTATCTCCTGTCAACAACCATCTGCACTATGTCTGCTAAGCCCTATGCAACTCATGCATCAAATACAGATCGCCATCCTGGCGATATTCTCAAGACAGATCACAAGAAGCATTGCATGCCAGCAGAGATGGCCGCAGCGCATAAGGCCATTGAAGACAAGCATTCTGAAGCTGAAGCAGAGAAGACAGCGCTCCTCCAGAGACTCGCTGAACTGGAAGCTGAGTCTCATCTCAAGGAGGCTGCATCACTGGCACAGTCAGTTGCGCCAGCCTCTAGGAAAGGTCTGTTCTATTAAAATTCTAAATCTGCTGCAATAAAGTACTCACTGTTTGGTTACTCAGGAGGCAGTGCCAGTTCTCGCAATGGCAAGGAGACTGGTAAGTCAAACCACCTTGCTTGGGAGGGCTGTCAGTAGGCTCATGTGAGGAGAATTTTGCTAGCATCCTCCAACCAGCCTCAGAAGCCAGCGAAGCTCAAACGAGCTGATGTTGACTGAGTGTGCGAGGAGAACTTTGAGCAGCTTGGACTTGGAGGTAACACCTTAGGACATGCTGATCAGAGTATGAAAAAGAGCAAGGCAGTGAGAGATCAAGGGGAGTCTGAATCTTCTTGCAAGTGTAAGAACGAGCTGGCTGCAAATCTTGACAGGTGAGTGGTCAAGTTCAAGTTGAAACAACAAAGACTTCCTTTTTGGGACTTACTCAACTTCACCATACTATCTGCACAGAACAACATCGCAATACCTGCCTCAAAGAAGCTGAAACCTCTCCACCCTTCTGGACTTATCTCTTCATGGTCCAACACACTGCCAACCATGAAGAAGCTTGACTGAGCAGTCACATCTGCTACTGGTGTTGCTCGACTTGAATCTCAAACTCCCAGTAATGCCAGTGTCACTGCTGCTGATGGCAATGATGCTTCATTCAATTATGACTGTGACAATATCAAATTCAGTGGTTTTGTTGAGGATGATGAGAATGATGAAGCTGAGCATGAGGGTATATCTGAGTCTGCAGGCTCAGCTTGGCAAACTGAACAGGTTAGTATGCATCATATCACTATTTTATCAGATATCTAATTGATGCTTGAACATGTGCAGGGTGTCATTAAAATCGAGATCACTGACATTGAGGCCAGCACTGTTCAAGAGACTCTGATGGGCCCAGAATCTAAGAAGTGTATTACCAGTGCTGACCTCCCTCTTTCCCAGCATTACCGATACCTCTGAAAAACAAGGTTTGTTCCTGACATTATCTATTTTATCAGTAATCACTTGTGCCCGTGGAACACTGCAGGAATCAACTGGGTTGATTTCTTCATCAGCACTTGGGAGTCCTGCATTCTGAATGTTGAAGTTCCCAATATTACGCTGAGAATGCCAGTCTTTGTTATAGTATGGACAGCTATATTATACTCATCATCTTCGGTACTAAGGTCTTTCATTATACAGGCAATGCAGAAGATTTCAGAGTACCGTAATGGCATGGGGGAATTCTCCCTTGATGCACTCTCGCATCACTTCAAGGTGAATAGTCTTGATACCGAAGAACAGCGGGCAGCATTTGTGAAGTGACAACTTGGTCATGGACTCCCCTTTCTTTCAACCAAGACATCATTCAATCCTGATACTGGTGATGCCGTATATCTCGATATCTCTTATATGACACGTTCATCAGAGCTGATGAGAATCAGATCCGTGTTGGGAGATTTCAAGGCCCCCTCATATTACAGGCATTATCATACCACCTCAAACAAGCTGGGAAGCTCATCGACAATTTTGATGACTTTCCTATGGCTGCTGTTGCTCTTGCCATTGTTTCTGTAAGTCATATCATCAGAGTTGCTTCATCATTCTAACATTTATTTTTAGGTTGAGCATGCACTGATAAAGTGGAAAACTGGCTCGTTGCACGTTCCAACCACTCAGGCTGTGAAGAAGGCAGACCAGTTCAGCTACATCATGTGGGGCAAGAAGACAAGCTCATACATGAAGTCCATGGACAATCTCACTGAAAGCAAGTGCAATGCTATCCTCAGAGCTGCCGAGAGATGCCTTGGAGCAGATACTGCCTCTGATGATGATGAAGACACCGCCATCATGGAGGCGATCATTGACATTGATGAAGAGGATGAGCGCGCGAACATCTAAGTCTAGAAGGTGAGTGTTTTCACTACACTCTGAATGTCGACTCATTGTATCCTGCAGCTTCTTGAACTCTTCCACGCTATGCCTGCCATGTGAGCTATACTGCAACATCACCTTCCTCTCATTTCCTCTGATACAATGCCATTGCTTCTTACAATTGTTCTCACATTTCTTCAGAGATTGCTTAATGAACTTTGTTACTTATATTACTTATTTCTGCCGTATCACAGGTAGCTTGAATCACTACTTGGTTTACTTACTTTGACTTGAAATTGAGGGACCTACTGGATTTCACTTAAGTTGTAAGATGAAATAAGTGAGAATAAGTTTGAATAAGTGGCACGACATTTTGCTGATGCTCAAGGTCATGTATGCATCGATGAACTACAAGGACATGCCCAAGAATTCGGCCTTCAACTTTGACTACTTTCTCATCGACAAGGCTCAGGTCACCATAAAAGATGCATTGAACTCGAATGTTTCTCTGCCTAGAGCGAGCAAGAAGATACTACATCCTTTGAATGCTGATATGTTGGCTGAGATGGGAAGTCTGGTTCTCACTGGCATGTTAGAGTTGGGCATGAAGAAGGGCCAGGGTATCTCAAGGACACCACTTCTAAATGAACAAGGGCAATCAACTGGATCTTACCTGGAAGAGGGCGTGAATAAAACTAGGAGAGATAATCCAGCGAATTCTGCATGTTCTTATTGTGGAAGTCCCAACCAACTGAAGGCTTGCGGAGGATGCCGTAAGCGATACTACTGTTCGCAATCGTGTCAGAAAGTAAGTCGGTTTTCTGTCCACTCCGGATTGCACCATTGACGCATGCTGATGCATGATCTTCAGACTCATTGGTGCAACGGTCACAAGGAGGAGTGCAAACGGAAATAATTGCGTCACGACCAATGGCATTGAGACTCCCTATAACTATGCCTGTCTTGCAAGTTTCCTCGTCGTATACCTTGCGTATACCAGAACACTATCCATTACTCGTACAATATTGTATACCATCACAGGCAGTGTATCGTATCGTGCCATGTAATAATCTGACCACATGTATCGAATGTTTCATCTCCGAACGACGAGACTTGCTATATCCAGCGTTGCACGATGACCCGATCCATTAATATTGTACGATGAGCCCACGATCGCTTCACCCTTCGTCCGTGGCCGTCGACCCTATACCCACTACCGCATTTCTCCTAGTCTCTTTTCTACTTTCACATCCTGCACATTTGTTTGAGAAACGCGCCAGTTCCACGCTATTCGGTTGTACATGCCACCGCGCCCTTCCCCAGTCCCAACGAAAGGTGCTTTTAACCCCCCAAATGACGCCTCCACCTACCGCGATCTGCTTTTGTTTGAAGAACGTCTCAAGACGAATGCTGCTAGTCTCAACCGCAGGAAACATCGCTACCAATGTGCGTTTCCTTCCGTGAACTCCTTTCCCTGTTGGCTTATACCAGATCATACCCAGTCTTGCTCGCACAGCTGCTGTTAACAATACTGTTCTTGCTCTCCGAGGTCTTCCTACACACGGACTTTCTTGCTGCACCTTGTCATTGGGCAGTAAGTCTCGTGCTTCCCCAAACCTACGCCCATGAGGTAGAAATTACTACTCACCAGTATATCGCTCTGGGATTGCTTTGCATCTCAGTGACAACCTTGGCGCTGTTCTTCATCAGTGGAATGTATTCTGAGAAGGTTGGGTATGCCAATAGGTATGTTTATTCCCGTAATTTCATACCTGATTATTGTCTTATGAATATGGCAAGATATGTCCCCCATGCCAATCGTGCCTTACGAAATTTCAACATGTATCTTAACGTCCGCCAACCGCCATTACGTTCCAAACTCCCATTCAACCCCTTCTCCTTCCTTTTCCCTCGCCCATCACCTTCGTCAACTCCATCACCCTCATCACCATCCTCACGACGACGCTCACCTTCACCGAAACGAGCCACGAAACGCAGCTCCTCTGTACCAATCTCCCCCATACCACCGGCCTCAAACCCTCGAGGAGAACTCATTTTCTCCTCAAGAGTCGATCGTTCATTCCGAGAAAGCTATGATCGATACAGAGCTGCATTCGAGCGCAGGAGGGAGGAACGAGAACGGGCAGCCTACCAAGCCACATGGATAGGATGGCTCCATATGAAGTTATTCAGGATTCCACCAGCATCAACAGGTGCCAGCAGTGTACCTAGTGGAACAGCTACGCCTGTTGGAGGGACACCAGCACTAGCACGGACAGGGAGTGCGACAGGAAGTCATAGAGGGAGAGGCGGAGGGACAGGAAGCTTGCCAGGTACACCGTCCTCGTCTAGGCGGCCAAGTCCCGTTCCTACAAGGCCGTCTAGAATGAGCAGAGGTTCGACACCTCCTGACCACTCCCCATTGATCATGAACTCTTAGGCTATATGAAACTCAAGACTAGACTATATCTAATATTGTATTATATATTCTTCAGATGTCATGCTCGAGATATACGAAGTGTGGGCAAATTCACTTACTGGTGATATTGAGACTGGAGACGTTACACATGCAGGGATGGTAAACGTAACGAAGGGTCAACATTGTAAGCGCAGGTGTGCAAGGAGTGGGGAACTATTCACATGATGTAGGATATACGTATGTACGAAGTATCCATGATGAAATCTGAATCAATGCAGATGAATGTTCCGTGGTGAATGTGTGGATATGAGAGAGAAAATATGAGACGGGAAATAGGGTTGAAATGAGTGAATGAGTGGATGCATATGTGAGAATGAGAAATGAAACCGAAGAACCAAACGACCTCCTGAAGTCTAATCCAACCAAAACATGACAAGAACATAGAAGTCCTTGCATATGGGCCGATCCGAGAAACCTAACCAATCATAAATGCCAATCCATCGTAACTTCAGGCAATAGCCCTCCTCTCCCTGCCATTGCCACCATTTCCCCCAATGAGAACTGTCATCCAACCGAACATGGCCATCAAGAACCTAACAAGCCAAGCAGGGTCCGCACCCAATCCAAGACCAGGTCTCAACTGCATAGCGAATGCAATGTCTAATTCAGGCACAGGTGCGCGATACGCTCTTCGTCGACCTGGAATCTCAACTTCCCTCATCTCCGGCTCGGAGCTCAAGGGAAGATCAGGGTAGAGCGCGCCAGGGATGGCGAGATTTTCCAAGGAAGGAGTGGATGAACGAGAGAGGGAACGATCAAGACGGGGTGTGGGGGACCGGGAAGATAAGGATGAGCTCATTAGCCCGAGAGCTGGAGCATCAGCGGCGCGGAGAGACCATGCAGGTTTGGATACAGGTGAAGAAATAAGATTGGCTTCACGCATTTGCGAAGGGCGGCGGAGAGGTGAATGCGGGGGCGAAGGAGGAGGTGTAGAGAAGGGGGTTGAAAATTGAGGCAAGGGAAGAAAATCGGGGTCCGGATATTCTTCATCCTTGTTGAGGACGATACGCGGGAGGTCCTCGGGACGGATTTCGAGTACTGATGAAGGACGTTCTTCTGCATCAAAGAACTCCGCATCTCGGAACTTCTCGTCATATACCTCGTCTTCCATATCTGAGGACTCGGTATCAAAGACAATAAGGTCTTCTTTCTCTTCGATAACCTGCGGAGGAAATTCGCGAGGCTCGGACACAACAACGATGTCCGTCTCGGACGGCGAGTCTTCGTCAGATTGGTTGTTTGAGGCACCCTGGTCATCTTCGTTTGAGGTATATTCCAAACAATCTTGTTTCTCCAACCGAGGCAACATTTCCCATGCCATGTTGGAGCCCAAGACTTGTTTGTGGATGAAACGAGTGGTATAAACGGCGACTGCTATGCAGCCCATTGCTAAGAAAGCCGCGACACATGACAGAGCCAAGATGATGAGCGGAGGCGAGCTGAATGCATTCATACTGCTGAACGGGGTATCAGTATATGACCCATCGTCTTCAGCTACAGACGTGGAATCCTCCGCAGCGTCTGTTTTGAATAGCAAGCTAAACTCTTCAGGGATACGTTCGCCGCCGTCCAAGTCATTCAAGCCACCAGAGCTGGAGGTGCTGATGATGTCGTAAAGCTTCTTCTCGTCATCAGAGAGAACACCGTCTAAACCTATGGGGACGATAGTTTTGACAGCATCAAGGTCATCCAACTCTGAGAGGACGGCGTGTTGCTCTTCTGGGGAGGTGAGCTTCACATGGATGTCCTGGTCCTCGTATACTAAACCTTCAGGCGACTGTCTATAGATAACGGCTGACAGTCAGGACGTAATGTTTCACAACTTGATCGAACCCACCGAGTACGCGATTGGAATATTGCCTGAACGACATTCTGGATAGCAGGCGTAAGAGGTTCCCTAGTATATTACGGATTAGATTAATTCAAATTCTATATGTTTTAACGTACGGTTGCGGGGTGTCATGAGGAAGAATGGGCCGAGCAGTCACGACCAGCGCGAGAACGGAAAACGACATGAGAATGGTGAGAGTCATGATGGGTATTGACCGCACGTAGCGGTTTCCGACTTTGCAAGCAGATAGTGCTGGGTGTTGTCGAGAGCGTTGTTCTCGCTAAAGAGCGCAACGCCGTTGGCGATGCCGAGCAGGTGGCCGTCGACGACGTCGAGCACTGCTTGGCCCGTTGTCGCACCAAAAACACGCTGCAGCTGCCGAGGCTACCTTTTTCGGGTTCCTACTTGAGTTACCATCGCTTAGTCAGCAACATCTTCGTTTGCATGCATTCTTCTCACTTTGACCTCATTCAACGAGACACTACAGTACGTCCTTCTGAGGCTGTTCAATTGGTCGATTGAGGACGAAAAGTTGAAAATGAGGTAAGATTCTCCATTAATTTGAAGCGATATTGGCACCAACTTCTTACTTGATTAGCTTTCTAGGTTTAGCTGAGGCTTTCGATTTCTCAGCTTACAGGCTACGTCACGGTATCCACCAACGGTCTGTTACCGCCACACACTCCATGTAATAGTTCTCGATGGTCGTCTGATTCTCGAACAGTCTACTGGTTTCTCAGTTTTTTTAGATCGTGTCAACATGAATATTACATCCGACGATTTCCAGATACTGCCTGCCCATCTTCGCAGTGTGTGGAGCGATACGTGGACCCGATATCATTGATAGAGAATTTCAACGCTCAATTGCTTTTTCTGCATACAATGTTCCGGTCGATGATACGTGTCGCAGACAGCTGTTCGCACCTTCGTACGTCATAACGATCCCGTTCCTCGGTCTCTTTACCTGGTTCTACCTCACTTGGATAGAATGCGGGAGCGTTCTCATCAGTCACAGATGTCCTCGTATGTCATCCGATTTGGCGCGCGCAGAAACATCGTCATCCTGACATTCTTGGATGTCTTTCAATGCTTTCTACTGTATCGGCTTGCAATACAGTGTTATCTGTCGTCCATAAGAAGTCCCTGCTGTGTCTTTAATTCTCTTCTTGTGTCAAAGGCCTCTCTTTGAAATCACTTTCCGGTCTAAACGGCGCCTTACTCTGACTAGCGTTGACTGTTTGCGAAATCAAATTTTGATCTCGCGCTTTGATGAGGGCCGTGCTTCTTCTTGTAGAGTATATATACAGATGCACAGGTCGACGATGCTTTCTTCTCAGTTATACTTTACTTATTCTTGACTTATTCCTCACGATGCCACTGCTTGAAGACAGCTTGCGTCGACTGAAATCACGATTTCGTAGTGAACATCGGAAGTCACATTCACTCAGTACCAGTAACGGAACAAACCGTACTAATGGAATGAACGCGTCCTCGTCTTCATTAACAACTGATTCTAATGGTATGTGCTACGCCACGACATCTTACATACATAGATTCCACTGAATTGTCACGTATTGCCAGGTTCTGAGCGAAATGCGAAGATATCCATGCAAGCCGACGTCGAGCACGTGGCTGCAATGTCGATGCCTATTCCACAAATTATCGTGGAATCACCAAAAGCAAAAGAATATGAAGATCATGTTGACGTTGTGAAGGACATGGCAACCTCAGGGGTCTATGACAAAGTCCTTGCTGGACCTTCGACTTCGAAAACAGGGAAACTCAACCAAGTTGGTATGTGCATGCAATTCCCTCATTTTACTGTGTGACGTTGAATACCTCCCTATTATCGCAGTCGATGCCGTCGATGTTGTTTTTGACGCCGCAGCTGCAGTCGCGGATGCTGCACAACCAGCTCAGGATTTTCTATCCAGTAAATTCATGGCAACGGTGGAGGCAAAAGTCAATAGCTTTGCCGAAGACATTCCTTGGCTTATGAATGTTCTGGACGAAGTGACTGCTCTCCATCCAGTCATCACCGGTAGAATGATTCAACTCGTCACATAAATTGTCCTGACCTCGTTTGCAGTGGTCGTTCTTGCGTTCAAAGCTGCGTATCACATTGAAATGACCCGTCGCGAGAACGATAAGCGTATCAAGGCGCTTTATGTGGAGATGAAAGAAATGATTCACGTTCTCATCCAGTAAGTTTTATGCACCAAAACGCTGGATTGTGGCCTAACCTCATGAATTACCAGCTTGAAGGACGTTAAAGACCCTGAAGCCCGCGATCCACGTGGCAAACCACTCTCTGATAGATTGGGATATCTTTCGCAAAAAGCCGCAGCTGACATCAAGGACTGCGCGAATGTTTGCGATACTTTTGCACGCAAGGGTCCTTTGATCCGAGCGCTAAAAGGGGCCGTATGGGAGGGTCGTCTCGTTGCATTCATAAAGCGTTTCGACAAGCGACGGTCAGAGTTCGAAGAAGCGCTTGCTATCCATACTGCGTGGGTGGTCGATTCAATTGCACTGACTATTGGGTCTATGGAAGCGAAGTACGTGAAACACTCGCCCTAAGTGTGGTGTTATGACTGATGTTCAGTGTTTCCAGAATCGACCTCATCACGAAGCTTTTCAAGCAATACATCCCTGCAAATGAACGCAAGTTGTCAAAGATAATTGAGGAGAAGGGGAAGGATGCCCGTTCAATCCAAAACAGTGAGAAGGACTTGCGTGATCTGCTGGACCAAGAGTACAAATTGGACTCAAACGCTCCTTCCGCCGACACTACTAAGACCGGTGATCAGAAGTCTGGAAGAGGAAACGATCGCGGGATGAGAAGACCTCCACTCACCGTCAAGGAGCTTCGAGAAGAATTGCACGAAGACTTGGATGAAGGCATTCGGAAGAACCTGTTGACGTTTGAGGGCAAGTTCATGCTGTATCATAGGCAAATGCATGAAGGACTACTCAAGGTACTACAAGAGAACCACAGTCAGCTTCTGGTAGCCGTCCAAGGAGGCCCTCATGAAAGGATAAAAGACAGGGTATGATCTTCTTACAGTTTCCCGATGAGTGGTTATTCACGCTCGGAACAGGAACTTCGAAAGATCTGGCATGACATGGTTAGTACAGTCATTATTGCTAGCCCGGGTCCACATGCTGATTATTCCCGCTGACCAACAGAATTGGAGACGAAACGTCAAGGCGCGATTGTTTGTTATGACATTACGAGATAATTTCCAAGACAAGCTTCTCGAGATGAAGCTTATCGCTCGAGAGGCTAAGCTTCACAATATAATGCAAAACGAGTCGAAGATATCATTGGCAACACAACCCAAGCCCATTGAACAAGGCGACCGGCTGAACGAAGAAAATATTCCGCCCGCAGTAGACGAAGATGCGGTGGATCATGCTAGAGATGACTGGGCGTATCATTACATCAGTCTAGCGTGGTTGCAGCCTATCATGGAGGCCTTTGACGATGACGGTTCCGGTTACATTACTGTGACTGAGATCAATCGCTTCACCGACGGGAAACCGAAAGAGCTCAGATGGACGTACGTGTGTTTATATAACGTTTCGGTTAGATGGTTCCGATTTTTTCGTTTCGCTCAGGTTGCAGCATTGGATAGCATATTGGGCTGTCGGTCAGTCTATTCGCATTCTGCGCAATAATTAGGCTAACCACGATTCAGGGTGGCAAATTTCTGCATGGCATTATCGCAAACAAATTCTGGACCTGTTCGCGACCTTGTTCGACATTCTACCAAGACTTCATCTCGAAAACAGGTTCTGGGCGGATTATTATCTAGGCAAAGTGTGGCCTTATGCGGCCGAGCTACTCATGGCTTTACGAGGGGACGATCTCCCCGACTTACAACACAAGTTCCAACCCTATATGGACCTCGAAGAGCGTAGGATAAAGAGGAATCTGGAGGACATCAAATATAATATCGATTCTCGTGATCTAGTGTACAGGGTAGGCGGCGAACGCATTGAGAAAGTAAGTACTTTCATTAGCCTGTCAGCTCGGTGAAGTGACTAACGTTTCACAGCATGTTCTACCTCTCGTCTACCTGTTGCTCAAGCGAGACTTGGAGATCTTTCGAGTTGCCCAGTATAAAGTCATTCATAAAGATGAACTCTGGGATGCTACGGAGAATTTGTTGTGCGTCTTCGACGCTGTCGTCTTGCGTGTGACAGACCTTACAAGTATGTTCAATGCGCCGCTGAAATCCTCCATATCTCATTGGCCTCCTCAGATTTGTTCATTCAACAACAGGTTGACGTCGTTAGTCGGATGGATGTCATGGCGGCGGGATTGGTATGTAAATCATATCGGGTATCTGGAGGAAATGGCTAAGTCGTGATCTACAGCTCAGACACTACTACGATCACAGCAAAATCTGGTCCATGACAAATTTGTGGTCACTACAGTTCAACTACCTTGAAGGGGAGCCTCAGCCAGTTCCAGACGATTACGACGCGTCCGCTTCTGAGAGTCTGCTTCAGTATGCACTCCCGGGGAACTGCACAATGGCGGATATCTCAGTATTTGACCAAGGTTTTGAATGGGATGTCAAACCTCCAACTACGATGGACCTTGAAGCGTCATACCCTTTGGCAGACATGTACGTATTGGAAATGATGTGACGGATATTAGCTCACCAACATTCCTCTCACCAGCTTGGGCCAATGGACCGGTTACCTCTATGATAATGATGATTTTCCGTCTCAAGTTATGCGCGATCTGGACATGCATGCTACCTCCTTAGGCGATCGAACATTCGAGGCTGATGGTCGTGATTTCCACGGGACCGTCTGTCATCTAGCTGGAAACTGTAGCGCCAATGACCGGCATGAAATCGAGGTCAAGTTTGCGATCAGTTTTGCTAACTCGAGAGATCAAGAGTACTTTGAAGGACGAATAGTTGGGTCGGGGGCTCTAGTGGGATACATGAGCTGGTCGGAAAATGTCATGGACACATGGCGACAGCAGTTCATATTCAGGCAGCTGCCAGCTGACATCATGGCCTATCATCCTTCTCCGCAAGAGATGGCTGCCAATCCTTCTCGTGCACGATGGCAGTTTGCGATACAGTCCACTCTCCACACAGTTCGCAAGAGGCGGTGGTCTTGGTCTTATTTTTCCGAGAGACAGAAGAACCGTAAACGATACATCGACCTCAATATAGCCTATTGGACGTATGGCCGAAGACCTGTGGGCGAAGAGTATGCCGAATTCGTTCAACGATATCGGTCTTTAACACCCTCGGAAGCCTGTTTCTACCGCAGTATACGTGATCATCTCTTGGATGTCATACCTAGACATGAGTACGTATTCTCGATATTCTACGACTGTTTACTATTAACTTCGATACTTTATCAGCAACGTCACCTGCGCAACGTGTGGTGGTCAGCTCGGAGGACCGCGTGTTCTTTGCCTGGATTGTCAACCTGAGGAGCAGCAGTTTTGGCAAACCATGGATTTTTGTCACCATGAAACGTGCAATTACACGGTCATCGGCAATGAAATATACAGTTTCCTTGAACCTGGGAAACCACATCGACCTACACATGACTTGATGAAATTATGCACCATTCTACACAGGAGAGACATGCCGGACTTAGATCGTAAGGCAAAGGCTGCTTTGTCTCATGCAAGATCTGTATGGACTCAAGCTCCCGTCATCCCTCTCACTCCTTCAATCTCGCGTCATTCATCAATCCTCAATCTATCTGGTTCTAAACGCAACCACGTGTCAACTGAATCATCTAGAACACCCAGCGAAGATCTTACGGAGGAATTCCGGAAGCGTGAAGATGCACAGAGCAATTGTGTCGATGAAGTTGGCCTGTCCTCTGCCCTTGGCTCAAACGGGCTTCAGAATAGACTTGCCACGTCCTCAAACGCACTGGCCAGAACTGATCTAAATGATGTGCTCACATTGGCAGTTAACGTGCCATTGCCTGAAAGTCCTGCGTCATCTGTGGCATCACATTTACATGTGGAGGTCGCCTCTGCTCCTTCTCAGCCATTATCACCAATGACGGCGCCTCCTGTACCTCAATGCAGTACCTGTAGTAAGGGACTTACTGGGCCTTGTTGGTTCTGTGTGACTTGTTACCAGTCCGGCGGTATGTTCATTTAATCATCAGTTCAACGACATCTGCCCATAGCGTACCAGGCGATCTTTTCATTTGCGACCAGTGTGAAGCTGATTGTCTTTTGCCCTGCGTGGAGTGCAAGAGGCCCTACACCCAGCCAAGATACTATTACGGCTCTGACCCTAGTGAGTGCATCAGCGTATTTGTTGTGCCATCTCAAACATATTCGAACGCGAAACCATGCAGAAGACACTTTCCTGTGTAATGTCTGCACCATCAAAGGAGTTTTACCTTCGGAAATATCCAAGGAATCCCAGCACGTTTGTACACATCCTCTAGTTCGTGTCCAGGATCGGATTGAGGACCCAGTCCCTGCCTTGCCACCAAGCACTGACGAGAGGATCGCCACGCTTGAAGAGCGTGTCAGCGCAATCGACGACAAGTTGGATCGGTTAGAATATCGACTGCAAGAACTCATGCTATCCCAGGATCGGTTAGAGGGGCATCTAAGCGATGCATTCTGCGATAAGTTCTCCCAGATGGAGCAGCTGCTAATTCAAATACTAGCGTCATCGACGGGGAGGAGAGAAATATCTGAATGTGCGGGTGTATCTAGCTGATGCATTATCCATCGTACGGTAATGGCTTCCAAGTCCTTGAGTTCTCCGCACCATCCACCAGTCTTCAGTCATACTGATTATTGTATAATAACACTGAATACTTACTCAGGACCACACCTTACAATACAGTACTAACTATTTACCTGCACCGTATGGTTATACTTACATTGAATATGGAACCCCACCTTCAGTGCCCGTGAGAAATGTGTTACTGAAATGTACTTGATGCATTTCTCATGCCAGCACCGCACATCTAGATCGTTCACTATAGGTCACTAGTGGATCATATGTCTCGTAATCGAGATGAAACCCAAGGCTGAAAGCAAATCATTCAACACAAGTTACACATATGTTACGGAGTATACTCAAGCGATGGAGGCAGCGATCCTTCTTTCACAATCCCCATATTTAGTTGTCGACTGCGAAGGACGGGACATTGGACGAAGTAATGGCCAGCTATCCTTACTCGCAATCGGTACAGCACGAGCGGAGCATGTCTTCCTCTTTGATGTTCTGAACATCAGGGATGCGACAGAGCCTTCTCTCTCTGCTTTACTGAGCCTGCTCAGTGAAGCGTCCATTCCCAAGATCATGTGGGATGGCAGATGCGATTACCTAGAGATCCTGCTCCTGTATGGTGTCCAAATGAAAGAAATCTGGGACCTGCAGGTTGCAGAAATCGCCTCTCAAGCGCTACGAGGGGAGGGGGAAAGTAAGCGGATGGCCGAACTGGCCCACCGAGGCGGGTATACTTGGAAGGTGGTCAGTCGCGAGTCCCATCTCTTTCAAGGAATTTATATGGTCAACGGTCTTGCGGGCATTGCACGCAAGTTCCACCTTACCAATGAATTGGCGAAGAATCGTACGTGTTTTTTTAACTAGTATCTCCACGCCGTTGATGCGAGGTTTGTTCTGCAGCTGAGGTCGTGGCCATGCATAAGGCAGGAGAAAGCGAGCGCTGGATGGAGCGTCCGCTTTCTCCTCAACTCCTCCAATATTCTGCTAACGACATATACCTCATCGCTACTGCCTTTACCTTCTTCGAGGACAATGGCTGGATCCTCCCTGATCTTTCCGCCCAGTCGGCACGTTATATTACCCCGGAGACCTCTCGTGAGCGAAGAGACATGCAGGACAAGCTGGGCTCCAACCGCTTCCTGCCTTTAGGCGTACTGAGTGACCCTGCATCACAGGAGGGTCCTCTCTACGACTGTCTGCAATGCGGGCGATCCCTTGATCTCACTTGCTATGAAAATACCGTCTTCAGAATGAAACCGGCGTCCAAAGCACATGGCGTACGGAAAACACCCATATCCAAAGAGAAACTCGGCGCTCTTCCAGAGTCCAAACGCAAAGCATGCTGTCGCTTGTGCACGGTCTGCGCTATGAAGAGCGAGCTTGTTCTCGATGACTCCTGGGTGGAGCTTTGATCTGTCGCTCTAGGTCTGTAAATACTCGAATACCCGCATGGCCCATCTTTACCTTGACAATGATCCTATGTATATGTCAACCTTGCAGATTATACCCAAATTGTTTGTTTGATATCCCTTTTCTTGGTTTGATACGACTTGCGTCTTCGTATGACGTCTCAGGTTTTGTTACCAGCCAGTGTTCAGATGTTGCCGCCTGTTTCGGCAAATAATATTTGTGTCTTCTGAGATCGCTCGAGAGTGATCAGGGTGTCCTCGGATATTACTTGACTCGAAGCTAGGGGGCCATCGAGTCCGCTGTCATTCAAGGTTGCATGTGCACGCCTTTCACTTCTCCACTGTTGTCGCGGTTACAGGGGTGAATTAGGCATTCTGCTATTCGTTAGTTGAAGCTAAATAGATGTTTCTTTTCACTTCGTCCATTGGCGGACTTTGGTGTCATGTCCCGATATCCAGTTCTCTCGCGGAATATCCTGTGTCTATCCGCTGCCATTCATCATAACGAACCGAATTCTTTGTAGAATTAGCTGTGGTCGTTGAAGTAGACGGTCGGGGCACTTGGATCGATCTGCTTCTTGTCTCTGCAGCATTATGCTCTATATTGCTATGTTCATTTTTTGGGCCGATATGACCCTCTTCAAATATTAGTAGCCGTCTTGAAGGGAAAGCCACAGTCACAGCCAATGTGAATATTTTCCCTAAAGAACGTTCAGCGTAAGAGGCGATACTGGCAAAAACATACAACTTCCAGTCCTAGCGTTTTTCTTTTTTTCTATCGGCTGGCATCAACGCTAATACCAAGGCAATTCCACCGGCAGCGGTAGAATGGAAGCCCAACCGAGTTCGACGCCACATCGATGACGACATAAACTTGTGGATGCCGCTCAGGATGCCTTTAGATGCCTCAGAGTTCCGGCATAAACTGCTGCCGACGTCGTCAAGATCAGGTTCGAGAAGTTGCTAACCAGAGACCCAGTCGGCCGCTACTAATGTGGCGCACAGTTGGTAGTAATCCGTAAAGCGCAGCGCATGCTACATCGCGTTGAGGAGTGTAACGAATTATTATGTTGAGTGGCAATGTGGCGTAAAGGTGTGGCGTAAAGGCATGGCACAATATTCAAGGGGAATAGAAGGACTTTCTGGCCCATTGAGGACAAGCCACTGAGCTGGACGGTAGTTAGTGAGGGTGAGTGGCCGCTTGCACGAAGACGATGGGGGATGGAAGGCAAGTGGTGCGGGAGGGCGTAATTGTTAGGCCTTATATACCCAGGATAGGTTCAAACTCCCAGTGGCTGACCTGAACTTCGTTGTAAGAGGAGGGTATCAGAATGATCAGCGGTGGTAGAAATTTACCGAAGGCTCGGCTCTCCGGACACGATTGCATCATTCCTGACAAAAGAAGACGCACCATATTTGGATGTCAATAACTCGTTAGCTGTAGGACCGAGTGTGTCACAGCATGACTTATTGGCGGCGGCGTATAACAGGCTATATTGCCAGGCAAAAGGAATTAGACAAGGCTGATTTGATTGGTAGGTAGTACTGACCTTTCACGTCTTCTGAGCGGCTTGCGAACCGTCAATCCATATTGTGAATCGGTAATATCCTAACGGTCCGACGCTACGTTGAACACCACCGACTATGCAATCAACCAAAAAGAAGGCCCTTCAAGAGGGAAAAGTCTCTTGGAGAAGGCTATAACGCAATCCGGGCAATCATGATTGGAACATGCTGTGGGGAGATGGACAGTAGGACCAACAGCGAACGTCGATCGTATGAATCGTAAAGCTTTCAAGACTGATGTCGTCGAAAATCAAGGACCAGAGAATAGGCCCGACAAAGAAAGACATCATGCAGACGACATGATCAATGAAAAGTGCCCAAGCTCACAAGATACCCATCTCCTAAGCTCGGGCCTTACCGTACACTATGTAACATGTTTCAAACACACTCGAGAGCCAAAATCGAATGTGATGATATAAGGACAATAGAATAGTAATACAAGGTAGCCGGAGAGCGACCTGTGCAGGACAACGTGAAGGTGCTGAAAAAGGTCATTGCAGTCTGTGCAAAAGTTGGATATATAATGCCACAGTTTCCCTGCATGAGCCAAGGGGTGTTGGTCGTTTGTGCGACATGTCGATTGCGAGAAGAAGGTGGGCATGCGTCGTCGATGGGATGAATACTCCCGCCTCGGTGGAGACTTGCGGGTGAGCGGGAAGAATTCTGAACTTGAGCGTGGCTGGGCATGTGATCGCGTTATTTGTGACTGTTTGGCTGTCGTGTCGCGTCGTGTCGCGTCGCGTCTCCCGCGTCTCCGAGTCGGGAATCCGAGGAGTACATTGACACATACAAACTACACAAGTGCTCCTAATGCCAATGTGCTACCGAATATTTTGTTTCCGTTTGCTAATGTCCTCTTCCACTGCGGACTCCGTGTCGGCCCACTCCAATATGCTAACATCGTCTCTTACACCCGTCTTAACTTGCCTAAACACCGATACCCAAGAAATACCCGGCCGTCGGGAATAATTAGGGGCTTCGACCACATAGCCACAAGGTACCGCTCAATTAAGCTAATACGCTTCGAGATGACATGCGTAAGGAGTGAGCAACATTGTTCAGTGCAGCCATACCTCCTGACTTGACTGAATGGGCCTAGATATATTATCTGTTTCATCATCATCTTACAGGTGTTTCAGAGATCATTAGTTTCAAGAAACCCGTGCTTATGCACGACCCACTGCTAACGATGATCCTGAACGACTATTGAGCATGCCAAGCCGTGACCAACCGGAACGGCATTTGGGAGGGTCGTAATGTCTCAACGACATGCGCTGATGTATGCCGATTCGGTCCTTTTGGAACTGTTTTATGTCTTCAGCCAGGTATATATGAGGTCCAATAATTAGATGTCGCTCTCGTTGACAGCGATATTCCCCCTGTTAACTCTCCACGAATCTCAACAATATGCCTATTGTCTCTGTCCAAGAACTCATTGCTGCGAAACCCCACTACCTTATCATCGGTGGTGGGACTACTGGTCTAGTCGTCGCAGCTCGGTATGTATCACAGACTCCTTCTTCTCGCTTCTTACTCTGACAGTGGGGGTATCAGCCTCAGCGAGGACCCAGACACCGTGGTCGGTGTTATAGAGGCCGGCGATTACCACAAAGACGATGCCAACGTCAATGTACCCGGTAACTAGTATCTTCCTGATTTCGAACCGTACGAGAGCATTGATTATGAACAATAAACTTCAGGGTTTGCCAGTCGTAACCTGTTCAAGCCCGATTTCGATTGGTCCTTTGTCAGTGTACCTCACGAGGGCATAAACAATCGACCTATCCCTCAGCATCGGGGTAAAGGTTTGGGCGGTTCATCTCTGGTGTGTATATATGTCCACTCTAACTTATCCTCGTGCCCATGCTCACTGATATCCACATCTCATTATAGCTCAACTTCACCGCCTCGGTGCGACCCGCCAAGGCAGAGCTGGACGCTTTGGAAGCGTTAGGCAATCCAGGATGGAATTGGGACAATCTTTGGACGTATATGAAAAAGGTCCGTACCTCTCTTATGTTTTCCTGAAGCCGAAGATTACAATTTCGCCTGTAGAGCGAGCGTCTTCAACTTCCTGAACTATCAAAGGAGGACTCATTACGATACTCCGCTTCACCTAATCCCAAATTTCATGGGACCAATGGTCAGTGCACCTCTTCTTCTACGAATATTGCCTTGCCTCGGTTTGTTGACAGCTAGCTTTTAGGCCCAGTTGCGAAGTCATATACCTCCAACTTATTTGAACCGTTCCCAGCATTCATGGATACTCTTGAAAAGCTCGGATTGCCTCGTAACCCTGAAACCGTGCGTATAGCCCCAAACCGATCTCATTAACGTGAACTATAATATTCATTTTATTCGTTGTGTTTGGTGTCGTTCAGGGCGGAGGAGACACGATCGGCAGTCTACTTTTGCCGACGTCAGTGGATAAGAAGGATTGTACGAGATCGTACTCCGCGTCTGCTTATTATGCTCCGAACGCGGAGAGGCCCAATCTCTTGGTTGTGACTGGTGCGCATGTTGCAAAAGTGAGTTCCTGCGTCATCTCGCGAAGGTTCATGCGGATTGTCCTAACGTGTTCGAAAGATAATTCTTGAGCCGTCGCGAAGCGGTTTGCAACGTGCGATTGGTGTCGAGTTCGTCAAGAATGAAGAAACCTATAGAATTGATGCTTCAAAGGAGATCATTCTCTCAGCTGGTAACACGATCTTACTATCTCATTTTCACCTTTCCTTCTCGCTGATATCCTGCGTTCACAGGCGCTTTCCAGTCTCCACAGATCTTGGAGCTATCTGGTATCGGAAACAAGGATATCCTGAAGAAACACGGTATTGAGACTCGTATCGACTTGCCTGGTGTGGGAGAGAACCTTCGTGAGTTATAAGTTACACAGACGAGCTAGCTCTCCCTCTCTGACCGAGTCATTTCGTTCATAGAGGATCATGCGTACGTGCCGACGATTATCGAAGTGGACCAGAAGGTCCAGACTATGGAGACGATATACGATGAACAAGAATTTGCTCGCCAACTTGAACTTTAGTAAGTACCGCTTCTTGTCTTTTCCAATTTACCACATGGCCCTGGCACCTACTTACACAAATTATGAACGTAGTAAAGACGGAAAAGGCCTCTTCACAGCATTACCTTCGAACCTCTGCGCGTTCATCCCAGCACATACTTTCGCCGAAAGTGAAGACCTGGCAAGATGGAAATCACAGGCTCGCTTGGAAGCCTCGTCTCCCGACGTATTTGCAAATACGCCTGAGAGCGTGAAGAGAGGTATCCAGAAGCAGTACGAACAATTGGCTAAATGGGTCGATGACCCTACGGCTCCAATGGCTCAGTGGGTGTTCTTCTTACCACCTAAATGATTCTCGAAACCGAAATAGTAACTCACCATCCACAATTTACTTATGATCATTAGGATTCTGAGCCTTTACATGCACTATCCTATCCCAGGTCTCCCCATCGATCCCTCTAAACGTTACATGTCCGTCTTCGGTTCTTACACCCACCCCTTCGCGCGAGGCTCTGTCCACATCACCTCATCATCCCCATTTGCTCATCCTGCTATAAAGATGAACTACCTCAGTAATCCGGTGGATGCAGACGTCCTCCTCAAGATGCAACGGCTATTGTTGAAGATGTATGAGACGGAGCCGGGTAACAGCGTTGTCAAGAACATAGTTCTTCCTCCCAAAGGAACCGATACTGATTCTGCGCTTACCGAACATGTGAGGAACTATCTGAATACGATATATCATCCTGTTGGGACTTGTGCGATGACCCCGAGGGAAGATGGAGGCGTCGTGGATAGTAAGCTCAAGGTGTATGGGACGGAGAATCTTAGGGTGGTGAGTCCCGTTTTCGACATGTCGGTTAACCTGCGATGAGCTCACTTGCTTTGTTTTTTTGCTTTGGTAGATGGATTGCTCCATCTTACCGTTAGAGGCGTCCAATAATATTCAGACTCTGGCTTATGCCATTGGTGAAAAGGTATGCACGGATTGCATTACTTTATCGCCGTAGGCAATACTGATAAGTTCTTTGGTAGGGAGCGGACATAATCAAAGGCGTGGTCTAGAATCTAGATTAGCTTTGGAAACCACGGTTGACGAAGTATGAATGGTTTCATCTGTCGACTACTGTCAATGGAGTAGCTCCTTTATACGCCCTGCATAGAGATCTAATGCCTTCCAATAATGTTAGTGCTTTAGATGGACATCGCAGTAGCACATGAATATCGTCAATTCTAAGTGGGAACAACTCGTAACATAATAAAGCACGGACGTGAATGATGTACAACGTGAATGAAATACTAGCTTATGATAAAGTAGAGACAGGACAGTGCCCAAAGCAAACACATGTCGCAGAGGGATGCAGGGTGGGTTGAAATATTCATACAATGCAGTTTTGGGAGAGAACTTGTACAAAAGAGAAGAATGCTTATCATCAATCATCATCATATAAAACTCCCTAATCTCGCGGGTCATGGCTGCTGATCTCGGGGGATGGAATCATAAGTCGGTGGGATTTCAGTGGGCGGAGCCTCCTCCTCTGGCGTCGTATCCAATCGTCCTGCGTCCTGATGCACTATCACAGGCGTATCGGGGTCATTAGCCACTCTGAACCTCTGGGATTCACGTTCCTTGGCAGAAGGTATCGTACCACCTCCGCCGGGATGCGAATTCGAGCTATCACTTCCCATGGCTAACGAAGGACCAGGGGAAGGATGTCTATAGTCCCCAGGCCCCGGCAGAGGGAAACTTGGGTTGGTGGGACTGGAAGCATCTCCATATGAGTTGCTGTGCCCATGACTACTTGTCCTAGCAGCATAGTCAGCATAGCCAGGGTCGGACATGGACGGGGTACGATGCGTCGTTGGCTGGGAGTACTCTGACGGCGCGGAGGAGGGACCTGTGTAGCCTTTTTGGGCGGCACCCGCGGCGACACCACCGGCGAGGAAGGGAGGAACGTTTAGATGTTGAGCCATTTCAGGGCTGCCGGAGGCTCCTGCGGCGTTGTACTGGTAGGGAGTGACTTCGTTTGCAAGATCGAGATCCGGCTGGTGTCGGCCGTCTGACACAATTCGATCTGGGTCGAAGTTTCCGTCGAAGTCGGGACGGCGTGTTCTGCGGCGACACCACCAGAATAGAAGCAAGAGAAGGGCAAGACCCCCGATGCCTCCGACCACGCCGCCGACAATGGCACCGGTATTGGAAGACGAAGAACGGGTGCTGCCCGTTTCTAGGCCGGTTGGGGTGGTGATAGAAGTAATGACACGCGTCGATGTCACTGTCTCTCCCCCGGGATCGGTCGTGCTGCGGATCGAGTAATGAGCATTGTCCCATACTATGTATAACAAATAGTCTTACACAAATGTGCTCATGCCTGTTGACGTTGACAGCGACGTGTTCGACGTCCGCGTCGTCGAATTCGCACTGTTTGATGTCTGGCTGGGTGTGACATTGGCACTTGATGAAGATTGAGACGAGGGTGGTATAGATGAACTCGACTCGGGCGGCTCTGAGCTGGACTCTGGTGGTGGTGTTGAGCTTGATGATGGAGGTGGTGTTGTCGGAGGCTCCGACGAGGAGGATGGCGGAGGGGTCGAAGAAGACGACTGCGGGGGTGGTGATGAAGAGGTGGGTGGTGGTGTTGTTGTTGTAGTGCTGCTCTCGGGCGGTGTCGACGAACCTGGATTGGAGGAAGAAGAGGTCGGGTTAGATATTGTTACAGATGAAGTTGAGGCTACAGAAGATGAAGGTGGTGAGGATGATGAAACTACAGAAGATGAAGGTGGTAAGGATGAGGAGGACGAAGAGGACGAAGCGGAAGAGCTCAAAGAGGAAGAGGACGCCGTACTGGAAGTGGTAGTCGAGCTCTCGGCGCTCGACGACGTCGAAGAGTCCGTTATTGATGTTGGCTCCTCTGTCGTCGCAGACGACGTGGGCAGCTCCGTCGCCATCAGACGTGTGTCGAGAAAGGGGGAGACAAGGAGAAAGCACAAGCGAGTATATAGCAGAGATTAGGAGGAGCCAAAGAGGGGTGGACAGAACTGTATTTTCGTCATTTTCTAAGTAAGAGGGCTAAGGAGCCTGCGCTCCGTCTTGCCGAAACATGCGCTCGCCCTCCACTCGGGAAATACCTCCAATCTCTGCCGATACACAGCCGGCGCACAGTCGAATAGAAACGCACAGAACGTAAGTAAACAAAACTCACCAGGATCTTGTCGTCTCTCCATCGTTGTTCGAAGCAACAGTTCTCTTACGTCCCCACCTGCTTTTATGTGTTTATTTTTGCCCCTCCACAGTTCTCCACTTCAGTATAGTCACAAGGTATCAAGGCCTCACCACAGGCACGTTAACGCCCGGGCTTACCTAGCCGACAAGAATCGGCATTAAAACTCAACGTCTCGTCTATCCAGGTACGCAGGTCGTTGCAATGCAAACTAGGTCGGACCATCCGGACAGAGCCAGCCTTACAACTCTCAGCGCCGCTATAAATTGTTGAAGCTCTCAGTATGCCTTGCCTTGCTTCTTGCGTTCTATCTCAAGTCTACTCTCATCTGGGTCCTACGGGAGTTTGCTCGGATTGTTCGGATTGTCAGATGGTCCTTTTGTGCTCTATCGTTCGTCCTCGTTGCCCTGGCGAGTGACACTGGTGGCGCCGCATGTATGTCCTCTCAATCAACCTTGCCTTCAAAAGTGACAAATCTTCCCTCGATGTCAATCTTACTGTAATCATTCCGGTCTTTACATCCGGTCTCTCCATTCACTGACTCACCGCCTTTTCTCGCGTTTCGTTTCGTCGGGCTTGATGTCTCTCGTTCAGAAATAGTACGGTACTTCGGATTACGCGTGAGTCTCTCATCGTTGTTTCCGTTACTCGTCATAGGCTGAATGTGTTCCAACACGGTAACGTTGTTTCATCATAGTGATGATGTCAACTTTGGCGTTGACACTCCGCCACCACACACTCTCATTTGCATTTTCTGTGGTGCACACCCATCTGGGATATAAAAAGATGCAGCACAGATATTTCGATCAAGAAGCGTGGCGCGTTCTGTGGTGTATATCCAGGCTTCGAGCATTGCTCATGGGTACCGTGCCAAGTAGTACGATAAGCACGCAAACTGGCCTCTTGAGAACCGTACTCACTCCACCTTTGGTTACTCCACTTCACCCCTGATCTGGAACCTTTTCTTGACGTTCCGTGTACCTGAAGTGATGTCCAAGCAATATCAAGAGATCATGGAATCAGTCTACAACATAACGATACCATAGGCCCCGACAATGTTTTCATCGTTGACGTTCCTTCGCATCAATCTTCAAGTCTGACCTACCCCTCGTTTTACCTGGCCTATTTTTTTTTCTGACTGTCTCGGGTGACACAACGACGTTCTCAGTGTCCTTTTTGTTCTACCCATGCCTCAAGACCCATCTATTCACTTCTGCGTCTCAAACCAACTTCGCCATAGTACCATGATGTCATTCGGTTTATTCTTGACTGTCAATTTATACAAAATACGGCACCCGGGACGCGGACTCGACCCTCACAAATCTCACTCTAACCGCTTCCCCTTCGCGTCTGTGTCTCAATGGCGCTCCGCAAGATGGGACTTTGGTCGGCAAGGAACCGGCAGACCGCCTTTTGAGATCTCAAAACTGAAGACCCGCCCACAGTCTATATGGTTAATTTTAGTCGGCGGCGAGAACGAACATGATACAGGAACTTCCTTACACATGCCGAGTTTCAATGTCTATCGGATATTCACATCACATCGTTCGACGCCGCCGTTCATATTGTTCAATGCCACCACCTCCATCGATGTTGATCGCTTCCGACTTTTTGCGCACATGTGAGATTTCACGGTGGAGGTGAAGATAAATGAGTGTTGAGGCAGGGTACTATGGGGAGGCATGCTGGGTATGATTGTATGATCACTGCTAACAAGTTAACTACCATCTATAAAGTCTATTTATATTGTCATAGAAATATCTTGATATTCTGTATGTACAACTTGACTCTCACTTTGCTTAGCATTGAATAGTGTGAGGTATATCAATAGTGAAAGGATTCACTATATTAATACTAGATGTTATATAGACTAAGTAACAATAATTAATCTTTATAATACCCACACTATAAATAGCAAATGTATATAAATGAGTCAAAGTATAGTTTACAAGAAGCTAAGACTTATAAATAGGATATCTTATATTATCTTTATAGTATGTTACATTGTATTTCCAAAGTACATCAAGACTAACAGTCAGACTGTATCTGTTCTAATTGTGACATTTGGTTTAAACTTCATATGCATCTACAGTACAAATGTCATAATACTCATTTTCAACATATAAAATTGCTTTCTCTGCTAGCCTAGGAAATAGCTGAAACCAGTTGACATATTTATCTGTCCAAGACAAGCTAACAAGTTTGAGGCTAGCTGTATTTAGAGCCAATAACCTGAATTCAAGCTGTTTGCAATCTTTTTTATTTCTAGATGGCTCATCAAGATTCACAATTACTGGCATCTTTGAATGCACAGATGAAAGTGATGCTAATACAAATAGAAGACTTTTTGTGTGTGCATCAAGACTTAGATATTGCAAGTATGAATTATACTGAAAGTTAAGAGCTAGCAAGATAGTCAGAATAAAATTAGAAGATAAAAATGTGATAGAATTCTCACCTTTAGCATTTCTAGGCAATGTGATGTGGCATTTTGACAATGATGACCCAGAGCTTGACAGAATTTGATTGATTGTTGATACATACTCAGTTCTGAATTGGTTTCCATTACGCAATTCAATGTGAAGAAGTTCAAGTCTAAAGATATAGCCACTATCAAATAACCACTGCAACAGCAATAAATCTGAATAATTTAGTTCTAGTGATTTCAAGCCAGGTCTAAGCTGTTTTTTGCCCACATTAGTTGTGGCAATGTTTGAAATTGCAGAAGGTATGTAAATTCTATAAAGTGCCAGATGCTGTAATTTAGAACATGAATGTAAGACTCTTTGAAACTGCTTGATTGAAATTGTGGCTTTGCTTAGACTCAAAGTATGTATTTGCAAAAGAGCCAGGCCTCTAAAGAAGTCTAGATGAACCCAGGCAAGATTAAGATTTGACAGATTAAGATGAGTGATATTATTGAATCTGATAGGAAAGAGTGGTATAGACCAGCCCTTTTCATCGACCTTATTCTGTGCATCTGGAAAAGAAATAAAAAGGCTCTTCAAGTATGCAGGATAGTTCCTATGATGATGTACATATGTTTTCCATAACTGACTAGCTTGTTGAGCTATATCAGCATCCAGTCCAATATTCTTGTAGAGAAAAGGCAATGCATGTGAATACCAGACATGGCAAGTGAGACAACATGCAGCTAGAGTCCTCTGCTATATATGCAGAAAGAATGTTAGAACTTTGTATCTTTAATGTTAGAAACACATATTCAACTTACTCTTCTTAGTATAGGATTAACATCATCATAATCAAACCTATCTGTAGATGCATGCACCCAGTATATGACTTCAAATTGTATCTCCAAGGGCAGCAAGGGAAGCTGTTTGACTCTCTTTCTTCCCTTCTTTATTCTCTTTCTTTCCTTGAGTCTCTTTTGTCTCCTGCTTTGCATGGTCAAATTCAGTGGAGGCAGTTCAGAATAGTGAGGGTAAGTGGGGTGGTTGACAGGAAAAGGTATGTGGGGCCAATTCACCCCACCCCACTTCATATATACCTTATTGACAACCCTAGGATGCTGATACATGCAACTCACATACAGCACTGCACATTCACAGCCCTGGAGTGATCTAATGAAAGAGGCACAGTATTAGGGTTCAGTCAAGCACAGAAAGCAGTTCTCAGAGTGACAAGCGAGAAGTGCATGAGGATGCTGCATGTTGGCAAAGATGCAGAAGAAGGCATGAAGCGCGAAACTGATTGAAGGAAACAGTGGTATAATTGTGACAGCTATTATGATATCTACAGTCGTTGACTGTGAGATGAACAGCAATAATAGTAGATGTTGTTTATTCGCCGACCATTCCTCTCCAGTCTAGAGTCCAGAGAGCACGGCAGAATACTACATCCATGCGGTCAGAGTGATAGGACTCAAATCAATTTAGAAATGAGCAGGTAAAACCATTCGAAACTTGGAGTTAATCCGAAGTTCGTCTGGTGTATATATACAACTATTATCTAAATACATGTGGTAACAATGTGTTCGTATGTACTTATGGTATCGGTCAGGTTCGAGCATGGATCAATGAATGTGTTTGGGCAGGTTTTAATAAGTGATTACAAATGAATAACGAGAGGGAAAGGTGTGTTCGTAGATCCAAAATGAAAGTGATCGTAACATTACCCCCTCCTCTAGAATCGTGTCCTCACGATTAATTTATGATAGATATGGAATTGTTCAATCATACCATGATGATCCATTCTTCCGAGTTTTCTCTCTCCCGTTCTCGTAGGCATACAACCCAGAGTATTACTCCAACAGTGCATAGGATTATGCCGCCAAAGACGCTAAGGATGATGATTCCGTCTTTGTCCATTTCTACCAAAGAGCTTTCATTGGTTGAGTGAATGAATGTTCTAAGATAGGGGAATCCATACTTGGGATTGATGTTGGTTTGACGAGTTGATAGAAGGAAAGAATGGGGTATTGCCATTCGAGTTTGACTTTCGTAGGCGCGGATGTGATTGCCACGTGTGTCAGTTTGAGCGTCTGCTCATTGATGATCCATAACTCGCCGGCATTCGGGTAGTGCTGATTAGATATGATTTGTGCTTTTCTTCGATTTTCGAATAATTTAATTGAATCTGGGTCTACGGATATCATTGCTTTTTCTTTTTTACGACGTTCTGCCCATCGCTGTACTTTCTGATCCCAATAATCCCATTCTTCTTGTGTCACTTCTCTAGGAAATGACTGTTCCATAATTTGTGCCTTTAACAATATTCTCGTGGGTGCTTTCGGCGCATCGGGATGATCTTTATGGAATTTGTCGATAATCTTTTTATCTATATTTTTAATAATTTTATGACGAGGTTCCCATGTGTTTTCAGAACGTGGTTTTCCAGCCCACTTGATTAGATATTGAAGACCCCCACGTGCCATCTTGGAGTCCAATACGGATTCAGCTTTGTCTTCTAAGATATCAATAATTATTGGAATGTTTTTGTGTGTTTTCTGATTAGGGAATTCTGGTGCATGATATGGCAACAATAAAGTTTCATTGAATACGGGATGTACTCCTTTCCACGATTTTGGTAATTTGAGCTTGTATGCGCTAGCTCCAATTTTCTTGATAATCGGGAATGGTCCGTATCTTTTATCATCTAATTTTCGATTTGATCTGTCCGTGCGTATATGTGTGGCTTCAAGCCACACTAAATCTCCATCTTTATAATTTATGGCTTCGCCTT